TCTTCTCCCCTGCCACTCAACATAGAATGTCTTTTCTGGTCAGCAAAATGTATTGGGTTTCTCCCCACCAACAACCAATTTTTTTAGTGGCAATCAAAGGGTTTTCTGTACTTGGTTTGTGACCCTGTCTGTCTGAGTTATAGTCATCTCCCACTGGGTAAGGGCTGAGTCCCCAAGCTTGCTCCCATGTGATACTCCACTCACAAGTAGCAGGTTGTCACCTCTTTTAACCAACCAGATGCAAGGTGGAGATGCCTTGAGGACCTGGTATGGTGTGATTATTTGCTAGGCTGCCTCACAGCTCTCAGTGACACACTTTCTGTGTTTGTGGTTTATTATAAGGGACATGTGAGACAATACAGATGAACAGTGGATGAACAGGCTCACAGGGCAAGGGTCCTTGCAGCTACGCTGATGCCCCACCTTCCACACACATCCATGCGTTCTGCATTTAGTTCTCCTCACCCCACAGTGCAGGGAGTTTTATTGAGGTGTCATCACGTGGGCATGATTGATGTTAACTCAGCCTTCAGCCCTCTCCCTTTCCTAGGGAATATTGGCTAGGCCTGAAATTTTCAGCCTTCTGGTCATAGCTTCATCTTTCTGCTGACCAGCCTTTATGCGGGACTTATTGGAACATGTGACGTTCATGTCACCCAGGAAATTTCAAGGTGTTAGAAGTATATGTGAGGAACCTGGGAGGGGACCCAATGTATGTGTTTCTTCTTTGTTTTGTTTTGTTTTGTTGAGACAGAGTTTCACTATGCCGCCCTGAGTAGAGTGATGTGTCATCACAGCTCATAGCAACCTCAAACTCTTGGGCTTAAGTGATTCTCTTGCCTCAGCCTCCCAAGTAGCTGGGACTACAGGCATCCGCCACAGTGCCCTCCTATTTTCTTATTGCATTTGTCATTGTTGTTTAGCTGGCTTGGGCCAGGCTCGAACTCACTTGCCTCGGTGCACTGTGCTACAGGCACCAAGCCTTTTTTTCTTTCTTTCTTTCTTTTTTTTTGAGACAGAGTCTCACTATGTTACCCTGGGTAGAGTGCCATGGCGTCACAACTCACAGCAACCTCAAACTCTTGGGCTTAAGCAATTCTCTTAAGCCTGAGCCTCCACGCCTGCTGAAATAGTGCTGCTCTCTCCTTTTTTTTGGAGATAGAGTCTCACTGTGTTGCCCTTACTAGAGTACCAGGTTATAGCTCACAGCAACCTCCAAATCTTGGGCTTAAGCGATTCTCTTGTCTCAGTCTCCCAAGTAGCTGGGACTACAGGTGCCTGCCACAATATCAGGCTATTTTTTTGTTGCAGTTGTCATTGTTGTTCAGGCCAGGGCAGGTTTAAACCCACCAGCCCTAGTGTATGTTTCCGGTGCACTAGCCGCTGAGCTACAGGTATTTGCTGAGCCTGCTGTTCTCTTTTTAATGCAGGTTTGTGTGTACGCTTTTACAATCCTGTCCTGAATTCCTTTTAATATATACCCATATGTGTTATTGTTGGCTTTTAAAATAATTTGATTTTGAATCATCTGAGGAGATTTCGTGTTGGTGTTTTTTTGTTTTGGTTTGGTTTTTTTTGAGACAGAGTCTCACTTTATCACCCTTGGTAGAGTGCTGTGGCGTCACAGCTCACAGCAACCTCCAACTCTTGGGCTTAGGTGATCCTCTTGCTTCAGCCTCCCAAGTAGCTGGGACTACAGGTGCCCACCACAATGCCTGGCTATTTTTTGTTGCAGTTTGGCCAGGGCCAGGTTTGAACCCACCACCCTTGGTATGTGGGGCCAGTGCTCTACTCATTGAGCCACAGACACTGCCCCTTGTGTTAGTTTTTATAGCGTTTGCACCATTTTAACATTCTCTGCATTAGGGCTCAAGTCTTTCATTTCTCATGTTTTTACCACAACTTATTTTGGGGTGAATTTTCTAGTATTGTTGAAGATAAGCATCCTAGTGGGTTGTTTTCTGTGTATTGATGTTTATCCAGGAAGTCATTGTTCCATACAATCTCATAAATTTTTTTTTTTTGAGACAGAGTCTCACTATCTCACTATGTCACCCTCATTAGAGTGCTGTGATGTCACAGCTCATAGCAACTTCAAACTCTTAGGCTTAGTCGATTCTCTTCCCTCAGCCTGCCAAGTAGCTGGGACTACAGGTGCCCACCATAACGCCCGGCTATTTATTTATGTATTTATTTATCTATTTATTTTTGTTGCTGTTGCAGTTGTTGTTTTAGCTGGCCCGGGCCAGGTTTGAACCTGCCAGCCTCGGTGTCTGTGGTTAACACCCTACCCACTGAGCTATGGGCACCAACCCAGGTCTTTTTTTTCTAATTTCAGGTTAATATAAGGGTATAAACCATTAGTTTGCGTAGTTTGCTTTTGTTAGGTAAACTCCAAATTGTATTTGATCCCTTCACCCAGGAGTTATAAATCCCTACAGTGTACGCAAAGATTACGAGCTTGCAAAATTCCTTTCCTCCTTCCCACTTGAATTTAATTGTGTTTTTCTCTCATGTGTGCATTCAGGGGCTCATCTACTGGTTTCATATAAATATTGAGTACATGGGATGTTTGCTTTTTCATTCTTATTATCATTTACTTAGGCCAAATGTTCTCCAAATCCATCCAGGTAAATACAAAAGATGGAAAGTCTTCTTCTCTCTTTATGGCTGAATAGTATTCCATGGTCTACATATACTGTAGGTTATTTATCCATTCATGAGTTGATGGGCACTTGGGTTGTTTCCACATCTTGGTGATTATGAATTGAGCTGTGATACATATTCTTGTGCAGAAGTCCTCATGGTCAAATTATTTCTTTTCTTCTGGGTAGATGCCTAGTAATGGGATTATGTGATGATAGGGAAGATCCACTTTGAGCTCTTTGAGGATTCTCCATACTTCTTTTTTTTGCAGTTTTTGGCTGGGGCTGGATTTGAACCCGCCACCTCTGGCATATGGGGCCGGTGCCCTACTCCTTTGAGCCACAGGCACTGCCCCATACTTCTTTCCAAAAGGCTATATGAGTTTCCATTTCTACCAACAGTGTGTGAGTGTTCCCTTGCCTCCACACCCACACTGGGATCTATAGCTTTGGGACTTCATGATGTGGGCTCTTCTCACTGGTGTTAGGTGATACCTTAAGGTGGTTTTGATTTGCATTTCTCTGCTGATTAGGGACGATGAGCAGTTTTTTCATGTGTTTGTTGGCCAGGTATCTGTCTTCTTGAGAGAAGCTTTTGTTCATGTATATTGCCCAGTAACAAATGAGATTGTTTGCTGTTTTCTTGTTGATTAGTTTGAGCTCTGTAGATTTTTTTTTCCAGTTTTTGGCCAGTGCTGGGTTTGAACCGGCCACCTCCGGCATATGGGGCCAGTGCCTTACTCCTTTGAGCCACAGGCACTGCCCTTCTGTAGATGTTCATGTACTATTACTTATACATAAGCAGCTTCCTTTAGATGTCTTATTTTTCCTAGAAAGCTCACCTGTGCTTTTTTTCAGCAGCTTTCAGCATTTGTTCTATTTCTCTGCTCATAATCTCTCTTAAAGTCACCTATAATCGGCTCGGCACCTGTGGCTCAAGTGGCTAAGGCGCCAGCCGCATACACCTAAGGTGGCAGGTTCGAATCCAGCCTGGGCCTGCCAAACAACAATGTTGGCTGCAACCAAAAAATAGCCAAGCGTTGTGGCGGGCACCTGCGGTCCCAGCTACTTGGGAGGTGGAGGCAGGAAACTCGCTTGAGCCCAGGAGTTGGAGGTTGCCATGAGCTGTGATGCCATGGCACTCTACACAGG